GGGTTTTAATTCATGGATTTTCATTTCTTGTATCATTTATATGAGTAGATTTAATAACGGCACCTTTCCCTTTAAAACACTAATCACTCATTCTAAATCTGATGTCACTACCCACAGTAAAAAGCAACTCAGTGTTGGATTTACACAAGAGTAAAAATGGGTATTTCAGAGACTAAACTGTGGAATGTGTAAAGCAATATCCACCAAGGTTTCAAATTCTTGCCCTGACCCTGTGCAGTAATGAAATTTCCAGTAAGTGCTCACTGTAGTGGTAAAACATCAGGAAGGCAGCATTTTGTCTTTGAGTTGTTTCATTTCAGTTAGAAAACATTGTCACTGACTGAATATTCTTACTGCTGCTCCAAGGAGGTTCTGGCAAGAGTTTAGTACAGAAAGAGCAGAGAAGACTGATACTTAAAAGTGCTTTTTCTATTTAAAAAAAAAACCAAAACAGTCAGAAGTGTGTGGAAAAATACATGTTATTTATTTTGATGTGAGATATCTAAGGTTAAACTGATTTTGAAAAGGGCTGCTTGTTCCGTAATTATGAGACTGCCTGACTGGTTTTACCAATTCATAACTCAGTTTTTAGTTATCCTTTTGCTTTTTCATCCACATCAAGAGGGCAGGATTGGTTACTTTGTACTTCTGCTTCTTTATGTGCTTTTAAATATTCTTTTTTAATTGAGCTTAAAGTGAGAGACTGCAAAGAGTACATTAGACCGTGCAGTACAAGATTTAAGTCATCTGTCAGGAACTGCCAAATTAAAATGTATCCCTCAATATCAACCTCGTGTGAATGTACTTTGAATTTGTAATTCTTCTCTGAGTTTCACTTACAAGTAGATGTTTGAGTAACTGACTGCTACTCGTTCGCAGAGCTCAAAGAACAGACTATGCACGTTTCATACTTGAGCTTTTTTTTACCTGCTGTGTTCTGTCCTGACTTTCTGAATAATTCTCTGAAGCTGGTGTTGCTAATTTTTTTTTTTAAAAGTAGTTTGAAATTTGTGAACCTAACTTTATACTTGTATGCCTACTAGCCTGATTTTAACAGGTTTCATAAATGAAAAAAAAAAAGTGAAGTCAGAGGTACATGTCTTACATGGAAAACAAACCATTTCTATCTAGAACTGTAAAAAGAGATTTTGAAGAGTAGTCTTAAGGATTTTACCTTGAAAAACTGGACTACGGTTACGTCAGTTCTTTGCATACTGAGTTATTGTCACTCACTCAAATTATTTGGCTATTTTGGGTGTCTTTTTTTCAGATTCTCATGGAAACCCTGTGTCTTCAGAAGATCAAGTCAGTTTAGCCCAGCAGATTTCTGATGTCGTAAAGCAGCCTGCCTTTATCGCTGGAATTGGTGCAGCCTGTTGGATCATCCTGATGGTCTTCAGCATCTGGCTCTATCGCCACAGGAAGAAGCGGAACGGACTCACGAGTACCTATGCTGGTATCAGAAAAGGTGCCAAATTATATATCTCAATCTGCTGGCTACTGAACTTTTACTGGTTATTTACTTTATCATCATCCCCTTGTTCTTCTAAGATTCAGTGCAGGGATTATCAAATTACTTCAATACTTTCAGGAACTGTGGATCCAGGAGCTAACCTAAAAGGCAGCAGTATTTACATGATGTGTTTAACCTGGCTTTAAAGCACAAGCCTTTAGCAAAATACTTAGACCAGGTTTTCATAAAGATATTCCTAAAAATGAAAATGTAAAGATGGATTTAAGGCTAGGAGCTTCCTGTGTGCCCTTGCTATCTGACACTCTACCATATGAAAACAAGCCAAGTGGGTAGTAGTTCATTGTCCATCCTGTTCAGTCCTTTGCTTGCTGCTAAGAATACTAACAGTGGTGTACATTACAGTAATGCTTTTGGTGGTGTACTTGAATTTCCTTGTGTTCCAAGGGGATGTGGTGAAGTGGCTGTTTGCAAAAGCACAACAGTTCAATAATACTTTCCAAGAGTCTTTCATAAATGCTGTTGCGAGACCTTTTGTTGGGACTGAATTCTGGGGCTGTCGCACCTTGCATCTGCGTTCAGTTGGAGTGGCAGCAGTGGGACTAACTTAAAACACTCTTTATTTTCATGTTATCAGTACCTTTTGTGTCCGATTGTCGGTGGGCAAGCAGTGCTTTACAGGACACTCTGTGACAAACAAAGCTACAATCTCTACCTAGAAGATCTTCTGGAATAAAAACTTGATTTCTCCTGTAATTTCGGTAATGTTTTGATGAAGCCCCAAAGTTAAAGCTGAATTCAATAAGCTACAGTTCATTACTTCTTAAAGCAGCGCCTCATAGGCACTTGCAGAGTGAGAACTGTAGATTCTGGAATGAATCTGGGAGATCCTGCATTTGAATAAGTAGAGGGAGAATGTTTGATATTTAGCAGCCAAAAGGTAGACCTGGGCTTAAAAGGTGCACACAATTTATTAATGCACAAAAGGTGTCAGGAGATTGCAGTTTTTGAGCACTTCAGGACTAAATGTGTGATGGGCAAGTCAGATAGACAAATTTAACACAAATGTTTTTAAACGGTAGCAGTGTGTTGCTGTGGAAAAGAAGCAGTGTACAACAGCAATTGAGTGAGTGGAAACATGGAAACAGTTCTGGAGTGTGGCAGAGTTTAGGTGCCCTCCATGCAATTAAAGTATGATTGCTCACGGCAAGACTTCAGGCACAGTGGTTGTAGTGAAACTGTAACCACAGAAATTGGAATGAATCTCACCTTTGATTTTGTTCTGCCAGCCTTTCTTAGATAAGACAAACCCTGACATACTGCTGCATTGGCCTGTGCTGTTTTGTTTCGCTAATAGCATGCTGCCATACTGCCTCTCTACAGTTCTATCAAACTAACATCACTATGCTTTCAACAGTACCTATGATTAAGCACAAGACATACAATTTGTCCTTAAAAATGGTTACTTTAACGACATCAGCTATTGTTCAAAACAGCTGTGTTTTTCAATATCTGTAAAAATATCTTTTGTGTAATTTGGTGGGGGTTTTAATGAAAATACACAGGGAAGTAGGGTCTGCATCTCCATTATCAAGCATTCTTCAAGAAGAAAGCCATCTTTAGTGAAATATAAATTGCAAAGTAGTTTGCCACTCTGCAGTGCATCAAGTCATAACTGCAAGCCCAAACTTTCCTGTCTTGAATTTATTTATTTATTTTTCTACTTAGCTTCAGGCCTGACATCTGTTAAAATACTTCACTACTCCCACACAAACAGATTGTACTAGCACTCTTACACACTTAGAAAAGTTTATTAATAGAAGCTCTGAGAATTAAGTTGTTCTTCTTTGTGGTAGAGATAAAGATTTAATTTAGCTGAACCTCTGTTCATCTGTTCCTCAGTTCCTTAAGAAACTAAACTGGGTTCAGTACTTAGCTCACAAGAGTAATGAGACAGTAGCTGAAGATTTTTTTCATGTCCTTGTGATTGCAAATTAATCTTGAGACACTTGATTCTCTCTTGAATAGCTCTGGTTTAAATGCACCTTCTATTTTAAATGAAAACTTGTTACTATGGTTCTATATTTTTGAATGTAGCTAAATTAAACTTAACTCTGTGAAAAGGCCTAGCTCAAAGAAAGCACAATGGAATTCCCAAGATGAAGAGCTGTCCTACAAATGAAGCCTGAAATAGGCGAATGCTCAGAGGTTTTTATTTTCTTGCTTAGTGTCCTATCCCTGGAAGTAAACCGGCTTGGTAAAAAGGTGGGAAGCTACAGCATATCCTTAATTATAAAAAGACACTCCAGATTCCCCCCAGATATCAGAATTATTTTAAAAATCAGATTAAGCAGATCTTCTCTTAGCCAGAACCTTTTCTTTCGATACCAGCTTTGCTGATGAAATTCTGTCTCAAGGCTGGTTTTAGTGACTATTTTATTATTTCACTTGCTGTCATTATATTGAAAAGGGCAATGTTAGCCTTTTTCTGCCCATCAGTGATAGAAAACTATACTGTCTTGTCGACAGGAGGGGGAGCTTGTGCTAATAGGAAGAGCAGGTGCTACTGCTCTGGTTTTGGATTAGAGACCCTATTGATCCAAAGAGGATTTAGAGTAGCTGTGAGAGTGAAGATTGTCAAGCAATGTCATTGCTCCGTTGTTAACCTTTCCCTCTTAAAGCCAAGGGCTAGAGGGTAGAAAGGTGTTACATCTAGGGAGATCTTTCACCCTTTTTTTATGATTACTTAAGAAAGAAAGATAATAACTGTTTAACAGTCTTGTCTATGAAAACAAAAATTAATTGCCGCAGTAGAATTTAGTGCCTTTATTACAGCAAGAGTTGGTGCCATTCTTAAATCAGAGACAGGAAAACAGCAGTTCTCTTTGTTCCTTTATATGATTATTATTTCCTTATTGAATACTTAAGTGTGCCTATTAGTTCAGTGTAATGAGCATTTACTTAGTGAACAGCAGATAAGATTCAATAGGACCTTGATAAGGCTTTGTTAAGGACTTTGCCATTCTGCATTCTAAAATGATTAACAGTGTGGGGGTTTTGTTTGCACTAGGATTTTCAGAAAAAAATTAAAATACCAAACTTAGAGGTATTTGAAAGGCTAAACCACAGTTTGGTCCCCTTAGGAGCACAATAGAACATCAAGATTTTTTTTCAGAATAGTGTCTGCAGAGACAAGCTTCTTTCTGAATTGCAAAGTTAATTTTATTTCTGTATCAATGTGACTGAACTACTGGGTTAGTTATATGCATTTGTTTTATGTTCAGCTGTCTACTAGATTTATACTAATGTGGTATGTTTCCCTTTCTCTCTTCAGCTTAATAACCAGTTTGTATTTTGTTTTGATTTTTCAGTCCCGTCTTTTACCTTCACACCAACAGGTATATATTTGCACTTTTCCCCCCTTCTTTGTTACTTTAGCATGTGTTTGTGGTACTGTTTCTCTTTTTCTGCCATAACCAGCCCACCCGTTCTGAAAGTTTTTTTAAAATAGTTCCATAAATGACAGGTATCATTATTTTGTTCTCTGAGTCGTGTATATTTGCTTCATAGCTGACACGTTCTTTCATTTGTGTGTACCGTTTTGTCGCATACCATTTGATGCAAGCATGCTATTTTGTAGCATGATCCTGTCAGTTTGTACAACCTGGGCTCTCTTTTTGCATATTACGATGGAGTAGTGTGGCCTTCTGCATCCAGCAAGGCAAAAGGTGCTCCTGATGGAGGAGGAATGACTTGGCAGAGCCCAGATGCTAACTTGAAAGGGATTCAGTGGGATTATACTTGGTGAAACATTTGCTCCTTTTCTTTCCTCTGAATCTGCATTAATCCAGTGACCCAGGAGCTGTCTGCTTTGGAAGATACAGAAAATCAAAATGTTACAGTGGTTAGATTTCTTTGCTTGCTGCCTTAAACTTTATTTGTCCTATGAAATTTTAAAATAACCGTCAAGTTCTACATAAACAGGTGCATTTCAAATTCAGAATGGGTTTTAAATCTTCTATTTCTTTTTGCTTGGTAATGAGCAAAATATGACATAACCTGAGCCACAGCCCACCAAAGTCCGTGAGAGCTTTTCTGTTTGTTAGAGCTGACCTTCAGCCAGTCCCACAGTCTGGCAGCTCAGCGGTTCCTCCTCTACAGTAGATAAAATTCAACACATTCAGTACCCACCAGTATACTGCGTTAATTACTTTTAACTAGAGCCTGGGTGAACAGATAGGTTGTTTCTTCCTCCTTTGTTCTAATCCCTTATTTTCACAAGAGGTCTATGGGACTTGAGGACACGTGTATCCAGGCAGGGTAACCCACCTACCTCCTCTTCTGCACGCTCATGTTAGCAGAGCGTGTTAGCTCAAAATCAGCACTATCCGAATTTGACCTCTGGGCAGCTGTTAAGTGACGTCCTTCCAGGTTGGACCACAGATGATGCAATCTCCTGTCTGTCTGCATTCGTCCACACCGACCTAATTGTAATGGGTTAGATTCTTACCCACGTGCTTTTAATCACATTGTGTAGTATCTTCTTTCAAAAGTCATCCTGTTATGTTCAGTGGAGCTCCTTACTGTTTGGCATGAGTCAGAGTGGCCCTTAATGCTTCTGAAGTCCTTTAGGATCCGGGGTGGAGACTAATCAAACTATTATTATTTTCCTTTTACTTTAATTTGCTTAACAGAGGGCTTCTATTGCAATCACAGTTGTAGCACACTACTGAAGTTCTGCAGAGGCTGGTAGGTTAGCTAACCTATTTTCCCAGTTGGATTCTTAATGTTAAAGGAGAACATCGGGGCTCCGTAAGATCTATCAGAGCTGCAAAATAAATAGCACTGAGAATTTTAAAAAAGAAATTGGAAAAAAAAAAAAAAACAAAAAACCACAAAGTATGTAAAATATTATTAAAAAAATAAATTCTTTTTCATTCCAGGATCCCAGTCATTAGTTCAATTGACTTTAAATGGATCGATACCCTCTTCTTTAGCATTACCTAAAGTAAAAGACTTACCTGTGGCAATGCATCCTACATTTTAATCCTGTTATTGTAATCGCTGCCAGCATTTATCTCTCTCATGCAGACTCACAGATTGGAGTTCTTCTAAAGAGCAGAATTTGGCTGCTTTTTTTCAACACATTTGTAGTTGGAAAATGTAGAATCCATCAGCATTTGCAGGGAAGCAATCTCCTTAACCCTTTGGCAAACCCAATTCAAACCTGCTGGATTTTTAGCACTGCTTTATGCTGGATGTTTGCATCCTAAAAACAAATTTTTCAGCAGTGATGCTTCCTGTGAAGGGTATGCAGTCCATGCCAACAAATAAGTGCATGTGAGCATCCACTTTGTTAATGCGTAATGCTTTTGAAATGCTAGCAAAACTTTTCCTTCCAATTTAGAAAGTGTTCTTTCTGCCAGATAGTTTTTACCAAGTTTTATATGTTTAATTTCTTAGATAAAAAAGTATCCTTAATAAATTGAACTGTAAAATGTTACAAAATGCAAAGCTTCTGTGGACTCTTAGAGCGTGGCTGATCCGTGAGTACAGTGGAGTAACATCCAGAAAGAACATCTGTTTCTGCAGTAGGTTCAGCTGTAATGAGCCATTGTTTACATTGGAAGTAAGGCCAGTTATAGAATCGTGAGACCTCTTTCATCTTACCGAAATAGTAAGGTAGAGCAAAGCTTTAACATCTAACCATTCATGAAATAAATATATGACCTAAATTATTCCACAGAGTAGCTTCACTGAAGGCAGCCGAGTTATGTTAAGGATAAGCTCAGCCTGCTGTATGGCTTCCTGCTTTCTTAAGCGATACTTATGTTTGTGGTCTTCAGAGCAGAACTGAAATATAAAACTTCGTTGGAGCTAGGACTAGCAGTTATTAAGCAACGTAAATATTATGTATAAACTTGTGTTTTAAGGAATAATTTGCAGAAAGTGTCTCAGAATTAATGTAGAAACAGTGCACTATTACTGTCTTAGCTAAAATGAAACAAAGGCATATTTAATACTGCTGTTTCCGGAGTCTTTTATGATTTTTAAATTATTTCCTTTTTTTATCTTTAACTATTTCAGTAACATATCAGAGAGGAGGAGAGGCCGTAAGCAGTGGAGGCAGGTAATTATGTGCTTTATTTTTAAGGCTATAAATCACATGTAAGTAAATTTAAGGATGCTAGGAGTACAGTTGTCCTTGTAAGCGATGGCAGAATAAACACTTACAAAGATATGTTTTAATTTATTATATTAATTTATACATTTGGGCCATATATTTTTCTGTTTTGAAAGAGGATGTGTGGTTTGGATTTTTAGTTTGATTTCCAAAGAACGGGTTGTAATATTTTCAGCTTTGTTAACCTGTAAAAACTGCATCTTAAAAAATGAACAGCAGAGGGAGCACTTAAACTTCAAAACAAAGACCTAGCTTACCAGCTGATTAAGGGAGTAAAAGTAATTAACTCGTGGCATTTATGAAGATTAAGAAATATAGCTGGTTTACAAATACCACAAAGAAGGAAAACGTTCATTTGGAAAAAAAAAATTCTGAAGACATAAATGGCTTATAAGGTGATTTTTTAAGAAAAAAACTTCTCTGAATGCAGTTAAAACATCACTTACACGAGGCAGGGCAGGAGAAGGAAACAGGCATGTTTTAAATGTAAAGGCTCCCTCTTTGAGAACCTAGCCCATTCCAGATTGAGGATCTAACTCAAATGTGTTCACTGGGTTTATGTTATTCCTCCATGAATGGCAATGGACAAAACAGTAATTTACATTTTCTGTGAAGAGGTGGAGTTTTCTTCAGGAGGCAAGATAACAGTTTTAGCAAAAAGGCAGGCCAAAGCAGTGTTACTTTGGTAGCACACCTTTTCTAGGTCACATTCAAGCATGCCTTTTTATTGGCATCTCAGTTAAAGACGTGGCATGACGCTGAAATAAACTCTAAAATCTCAGAGAGCAGCTGGGTGATAAATTCCTATATCAGTTCTTGTTTCACAGGTGTCATCCTGTGCTTCCTAATTTGACAGACCATACACAGAATTGGTAATGGTAATGATTAGGCATAAAATTAAACCTTCCCAGCCTAGCTGAGTGCTGTGCAGAGGCGAGGCTGTTCTGCTGCGGGTGTTGAACCCGCCGTGTTAAGAGCAATTGTAAATATCTCTGTCCAGCACTGTGTGCTGCTGTCTTGTTGTAGCCATTAAACCATGGAGGAAAACCTCTAGAACAGCTCCCCTGTGTTTTTTGAATGCAAATCAGTGGGTTGCTGCCTTCACCCCAGGATAGTGAGAGAAGGAGAGAACAGAGATGAACCCTCTCTTTC